GCAAAGTCAATAGGGAAGCGAGATTCACTTAACAAATATATTAATAAGAACTGCAGTGATTCACTTAACAAAAGTGGTAAGAAAATTGCTAAAATGGAGTGCAATTCACTTAACAACTACCTTGCTTAGCAACATTGGCCTCAATTGTGGTTGTAAGTCAAAGACTTTCTGCATGTGCCTTTTTCCTTAAGTAATTTGGACCACAGTCTTAATAGAACAAGCAAACATCAAGTCAATCTGTCTAATTTAGTTTTGTCCACTGATTGGATTGACCGTGTCAGTGTAGGGTTTTGATTGACTGATGATTCTGCCTTTAAGGTGGCACAGACCAAGTCTTTAGTCTTCTTGCTCTCTCTTCCTAATTGTCTTGATTCATCAAGGTAAAAGAGTTTTAAATTATATTTTTCATAGCTTTAAAATAAGCAATAAAAATCTAGAAACTCGTGAGACTATGGGAAAAGCAATGTGTATTAATGAATTAAATAAATAGAATGAATAAAGAGGGCTATAAACCTCAAGGTAACTTTAAATTCAACTAAACAAATTGCTAAATGGGATTTCAGAGGAGTTGAGAGTCAGACGGTGTACAAGTTTAAATTAGAATTATTATATGATGAGCAATACTACATCAGTAAAACAAAATTGAATGAAGCCTCATTAATGTAAATATAAATACCAACATCAATAGCCCTTTTCCTAATGAGAAATATTTGTCCACTGTCTCATCAAATTTAATTGCTAGCTGATGAATTCTGGGAGTTGAAGTGCACAAATCTTAAAATTGCCAAGGTTGGACACTCCTAGTCTACAGGTTTAAAATTTAATAATTGACATGGAATATCCATAATACAGGGATTAAGCTTGAAGCTGCATTGAGTAGAACTCTGGACACCATCCTACTTTTGATTCCTTCTAGATCAGGGGTGTCAAACTCAATTCCATTGAGGGCCACCTCAGAGTTGTGTTTGACTTTGGGGGGGGGAGTTTGATGTCACTTGTGTCGGGGGGCCCTGTGGTGGCCCAAGCGCTCTGCCAGCGAAAACAGAGCCAAGGTAGCACAGTGGTTAAATGCAGCACTGCAAGCTACTTCAGCTGACTGCAGTTCAGCAGTTCAGCTGTTCAAATCCCACCAGGCTCAAGGTTGACTCAGCCTTCCATCCTTCCGAGGTGGGTAAAATGAGGACCCGGATTGTTGTTGGGGGCGATATGCTGACTCTGTAAACTGCTTAGAGAGGGCTGAAAGCCCTATGAAGCGGTATATAAGTCTAACTATTGCTATTGCTATTAGTTCTTAACTGTTTTCCCTGTGGGCCAAATTTAAGCACCCGTGGGCCGGATCCATCCCGTAGGTCTTGAGTTTGACACCCCTGTTGTAGATGCCTTGTATTACAGTTCCTATCATTTTCAATTGCCGGTCATGTTGTGTGGAAATGATGCAAATCCTCGTTCAACATATTTGAAGAGCATGCATTTGGAAAAAGGTTGTTTATGCATTTCCTTGTGCAGATTCCAATTAAAGCAAAATACCACACCTTGGTAAGACCTGCTCTAAAACGAGCATAAGTCAGCTGGAAGTTGAAGAACAGGTTTGAAAAGTGGAAAGCGGCAACACTAATGTATGTTTCTGGAGCAAAGCTTTCCCGAGAGCCGGATAAAATAGACTTCATTGACAAAGCTTGGGGAATCCTGTGTAATCATAAAAGGTTATAGAAATAGAAAATTATGGATCTGCTTTTATTGCAGCTCATGATGTTCTTAAAATGATTTTTAAAATAATTTTCTTTTAGCACAGGTCTCGCAGTAGAGTTTCATTTTGCTTTTAGGGTATAATGAAAGTAAGTCAGAAACTAAATTGCTGTGTTTGATCTCAAGGTCATCGTGGAAAACATCTTGAATTGCATAATGATGTTATCTAGATTGAAGTCATTTGTAAAGCATTTATGAAAACTGCAGGCATATTTCCACGGGGAAAGTTCACTTCTTTTTTTAAACAATGTTTTATTTATTTTATTTATATTACTTCTCATCTCCATCAAACTGTGTGAACTGGGTACAATTATTTGAAAGTTCATAGTCCACATATTTGTTGTTATATTGATTACAATATCATTGATAATATAACTATATCAAGATAATTGCAATAATACATAATATCATCATAAATTTCTCTCCAAAGTAACATTTTCTCTTCTTGTATTTCCTCCTTCCTAACTTCTGTTTCTATTCTCTAGCCATTGATAAAACCTCCCACATCAGAAAATATTCAGTTTCTTCTCTGTCCTTGATAATAAGCATTCATCTGTCCATTTCTGCACATTCCATTATTTTCTGAATCACCCTCTCATCTCTCATCTGATGGGGTCTCCTCACTCTTCCACTGTTGCGCAAATATAATCCTAGCCGCAGTCAATACATGTAAAATCAAATATCTTTTTGTCATATTTTTCCAGTAGGATGTCCAACAAAAATGTCTCTGGTCTCAGTTCAATATGCTTCTTTGTCATTTTTTCCAACCAGATAAGTATTTTCAACCAATATTTTTTAGTTTTGGGTCATGTCTACCACATATGGTAATACCTGATATTCCGGTATTTGGTTACAACACTGAGAAAGTCCATTCTTATACAGCTTTAAAAATATAAAAAATTGAAGGGCTGATGCAGCCACTTTCTGCTAAGAACATTAAGGCTGTTTAGTTTAGATTAATGGCCAATTTGGTGACCAACTACACTTTTTGATAGCCTGCTTATATTGTCACATAAAAAAAGTATTTCTAGCTGTCTCCAACTATCTGCCTTCCACATGTATTGAGGCTCCATGCTTATCATTTTCACTTAAATCGGCTTGTACGTCTATATGTCTGGAAAGTACCCAGTTAAGAAAAGTTGTAGCATGTTTAATATTTTCCAGAGACTTGTGCCAGGTGGCACTTAAATCCGGAACATAATAAAATTGATGACTTAATGCCCTCCGATGCTTTTCAAAGCTTGTTTGCGGGTAGGATGAATTATTCAAGGGTTTGAAATCCTCAAACCAGCTTTTCAAGGAGAACTGATGCAGCAAATTGCTTTGTAGTGAATGTGCCTCTGCTTGACAATCATAATTGGAAACCTGTCCAAATCTTTCGTATCTAAAGAGGGTAGGTTGATGGGTACACAAGGCACCTTTTAAGTAGCAACAGCCCAATTGAAGTCCTTTCCAAGAGAGCTGATGCAATCTCCCCATTCGTTTCAACTCTAATCCAAGACTGTTTGGTTCCCTCAATACATCCTACACAAAGACATGTTAAAACCACTTCCATATTCTCAAGAAAATTACATGGATGGATATATAGTATCCTTGAAGTTATCAGAAAGTAACTTAAACTTGAAGAAGAGACTTTTAAGTTTATCTTTAGCTCAATGGTACAACTTTTGCTTATCTCTATCATGATAGTTTTATTGCCTTGATAAATACATTTATTTTCTGATGCTTCAATGAGCTGCTTTTGATTTTATACGCCTACTTATGAAGGCAGTGTTTCTCAACCTAAGCAACTTTAAGATCTGTAGACTGCATTTCCCATAATTCCTATCTCTAAGGTAGGAGTGTCAAACTTGCATCATCATGGTGTCGTCACATGATGTATCGTGACTTTTCCCCCGTTTGCTAATCCGGGCGTGGCAGTAGCCACTGGCCAGTGCTCTCTTCCACTCTCCGTGCTCAGGGATCAGGAGGGGGCGGTCCTTGCTCATCACCTGAGAGAGCAAAGCAGCCTCTGGCTGTGTCCAGTCCAGCAAAACAAGAATGGGAGAATGGGTCCAGGAACCAAGGAACAAACAATGAGTGCACAAAGTAAGGAATAAGGTATTGAGTCCACGAAGTCAGGAAGAAGCCAGCAGTCCTGCTCACTCCAAATGTCTGTACCGGCACACCAGACTTTACCAATTCAGCGTTTGTTCCCAACAAATGCCCCTCCTCACAGCATCTCCTTAAATATCAGTCCCTAAATGTTCCTTGTGAAGAGGAGCGGGGCACTCTCCTCCCGAGTTGTTGTGTTAGCCTGCGCTATTCCTGCCTTCTCTCCACTCTCCCTGCTCGGGGATCCGGAAGGAGAAGTCCTTGCTCATCACCTGAGCTCCGTTGTTCTCATGTCCACTGTTTACTTTTCTTGGCCATCCTTCCCGCCCCCCGCCCCCCGTTCCTCCCTGCTAACAAGCTGTCTCAATCCTGAGGGGTCCTGGGCTGCCTCAGCTGCTCCTCCCCACATTCTTCTGAAGCCAGTGAAGCCGCCCCCTCCATCTCCATTGGCCCCAGCTGTGGCTCGTCCTCATCCTCAGATTCAGGCTCCGACAGAGGCATGACATTAATGCTAACCACAGTACTGTAATGCCTAAGCCAGACCTGCAAACCTGCTTTGAGTCCTGACTTGGTGACACTAGAAACCTTTGACAAAGTCAAGTGGGATTCTTATTAATATCATTACAAGACTGAATGAGAGAAAATTAGGTTAAAAGAGGGGAAGTAGAAGGAGTGCGCACTCAAAGTTGGGGTTTGAACAATAAATTGTATTTCTGACACCAGAAGACTGAACTTATTTTGTCATGTTAAGTTTAACTTTTGCCCTTAACTTTATAAGGGCAAAAGAAAGCATATATCCCATTATGAAAATTCTTTTAAAGGGATGTGATACCAAGATTCTTAAAGCTTTGCAGGCTTTTGCTGCAATTCCAACTCCACACAAATTTTAGTTAATAGTTTGGAACCAAAGTATTTAAGGTATTTTAGTTCCTCAGAAATTCCCCAGTATAACCACTATGTCAGCTTCATTTGTTTGAAGTGTCTTTTGTCTGGGACATATTGTTACTCTCACCAGATCACCTTCTGTTTTTTGTGCAGTCTTTTTTTTTTTTTTTAAACTTGTCTAGGGAAGTCAGATAAAAATATTGTAAAAAAAAGTAAGTTTATTCATTGATGTTTGGTTTCATTCTGTTTTGTGGTTTGTCTTCTCTCTTCTCCAGGAGACTGTTACTCTCTACCATAATATCTTCCTGCAATACTTAAACCGAACAAGAATTGTGGTGAATGAAAAATGCTCTGGGATGGAACCATGGCAAGTCATCGCATCAACAGCCGCTGCTACCTTGCTGATTGTGAAGCTATACATGTTTCTTTTCCAGGCAGAAAGTAAGGGTCACATCTTCTTCATGTGAGGAATCTAACAATTGGCAATGCTTTGGAGTATCGTAGTAGTGTACTGTTTTTAATCTTCATGCACGGTTTCTGCACCCCAATAATTCCTTGATTGCAATCCAATCCCAGAATTAAAAGATATGAAATAGCAAGAGAGGAACACCTGGATATATGTTTACACACACATATACATGCCATATTTTATTGAAGTGTGATCAGATCAGTTTCAAATAATACATTTGCTAGCCCTTGTTATAAATAAGATACCGTATTTTTTGGAGTATAAGACACACTCCCCCCCTAAAAGTACGTGAAAATGTGCGTCTTATACACCAAATGTAGCCCTGCCAATTGGATCGACCTCCCAGCAATCAGCTGTTTCAGGCTGCAGGGATTGCCTATTGCAGCCTCCACTTGCCCCATTTTCAGCCTCTTCACCCATTTTTGGGTTCTGTGCTCTCTGTTTTCAGCCTCCCTGTACCCCATTTTCCCCCATTCTGATCCCCGCCGCCTGGAACGGGCAGAAAATGGGCCACACAGAGGTGGCAATATGCTATGGCAATCCCTGCAGTCTGAAACAGCTGATGGTTGGGAGGCCCGACAATCAGTTGCTTGTGCTAATCAGACTGTGCTGAAACTGAAACGGGCTGTTTGTTGCAAGGAGGCAAATTGCTGGCAGGCAGATTTTTTTTCCCCTTGTAGTAATCAGGCTGTGCTAAAATTGAAACTGAAACAGGCTGCTTGCTATTTGTTGTAAGGAGGCAAATTACTGGGAGGCAGAGGCAGATTTTTTTTCTTGTTTTCCTCCCCAAAAGCTAAGTGCGTCTTATATTTTGGAGCATCTTATACTCAAAAAATACGATAATTAGAGAGCATTGTTGCAGATAAATTAAGTTGTAGGAAAAAAAGACTTAAATTTCCATCAGACATTTTTAAATGATTAATTTAATTAATTTAATTTACTTATTATTAGTCTTTGACCATAAGGTGAAGCACAGAACAAGTGAAGGCTAGCTTTGGGCTCCCTACAGCCTCTTTTTCAATTAACAGCAGTTTTGATGTACTGCAACCTTATAATGTGGCCAGTTTGAATTATAGTTTGTAAAAATAACCACCTTTATAAATAACATCTGACTTATTTCCACTAGTGTGCCCTCCCTCCCTCCCTCCCTCCCTATTAATTTATATGGACATCCATCTCACCAAGGGAACTCTGGGTACTATATACAATAGGTGGTTGGTGTGTATGTGTGTGTGTGTGTGTGTAATGGTTGCTCTTTGTCTATTTGTTATCTTTTCTCCTTTCACACTACAGATGATTTTTCAGTGACTATTTGGAGATACTTTGGGGCTCAAATGTTTTCAGGTTGTGTGCCTTTCATTTATGTTTTTTAATTAACAGCAGTTTTCATCTGCTGCAAACCTTATAACATGTAATTTGAACTCTGGCTAGAGAAAATAATCCATGAGCCTCAGTGGTGCAGTGGTTAGAGTGCAGTATTGCAGGTTACTTCTGCTATCAGCTGCCTGCAATTTGGCAGTTCAAATTCCACCATGCTCAAGATTGACTCAGCCTTCCATCTTTCTGAGATGGGTAAAATGAGGACCCAGATTGTTGGGGGGCAATAGGCTAACTCTGTAAACTGCTTACAGGGGGCTGGAAAGGACTGTGAAGCGGTATATAAGTGCTATTGCTATTGAAATTGACTTATGTCCATTGATTATAGCTTTTCTTTGCAATTACTCTGGAGGAAAAAAAAAGCCATGAACCAAACATTCAAATCAGTCTTTGTATTGGGTATCTTCAACTGTTGATGTAAATTTTAAAATTTTATATTACGGCATTGTACTGAATAAATATACTTACTTTAACATCAACAGTGTACATAAGGACAGAATACATTGTATATCATTCATTGAGAGAAATTAGCAGCGTTCATTCCCATTTATATATGACATAACTTTAAATATTAATTATTTGTACTGTCTTTTTTGTTGTATTAAAATGGAATTCTTTCATAGTGCTTCTACAGCCCTCTCTAAGTGGTTTACAGAGTCAGCCTATTGCCCCCAACAATCTCTGTCCTCATTTTACCCATCTCGGAAGGATGGAAAGCTGAGTCAACCTTGAGCCTGGTGAGATTTGATCTGCCAAACTGCAGCTAGCTGAAGTAGCCTGCAGTACTGCACTCTAACCACTGTGCCACCTTGGCCCTATAAAAAGTGTTGAACTGTTGAATGAACTTAAAAGAAATGGTTAAGGATGAATTTTGAAAGACACTGCCAAAGATGAGAAACAGAAGAAAGCAAACTGGATGTCACTCCAAACTATGAAGATTGTCAAGAAGAGAAAAGTAACTAAAACCCAGAAAGTCAACATTCTTCAGAAGGAACTTAACAAAGAGCTTCGGAGAGCTATTGAAAAAGACAAGAAGCTGTATTACAACAACATCTGTAAAGACAATGAGGATAGAAACAGACAAAATTAAGGAAGGTCTTTAAAAAAATAAATCTTTGATCTTCGGGAGTTGCAACCTCAAATTGGCATTCTAAAGGTCAACTTGTTCCAACCTAGGCTTCCCCAAAAGCATGAAGCAGGTTTCTGGTCCCGACAAACGGATTTTGAATTCCTCTCATTCACATTCAGCAAGGCCTGACAAACAGTCTTTCAAAGAAATAATTATGACTACAGGCCTTATCTATTGTGGAAAGCTGCCATGTAAATATTTCCCAAATGAGATGCTGTGCAAGGAAAGGCTGGGCATAGAGTCTCCCAGATTCACGGACAGATCTTCACACTCCTCAAATGAATCTAATGACTGAACGAATGAATTGTTTCCTGCAAAAGCCCACTCCCCTTTCGCTCCTCTTTTATTTCCTATGGAGGGGTCAATCACCTTCCACCTGTGACTTACTCACAAGTCTACCCTGATTTTTGAGTTGTTCTTCTGGCAGCTCTGCAAATGCACACACTGGGAACAGGCTCTAACTGTTCCTCTGCCTCATTGCTGTCTAGCTCTGTAGGTACCTGATCACTGCCAGATGGCCTCGGCCCCGTCTCTGCCTGCAGAGCCCTCGTCCAAGCCTTCCCCAGCCTCCAGGACTGGCCCATGCTCTCCCCAGCCTCCTCACTGCCCGACTCTGCTGCCAGCTCTGCCGGCTGCTGGTGGGTCACAACACAAATATGCACAGACAGTAACTGACTCAAAGATCATGGAATCAGTCAAGGTTCTCTAACCAAGCTGTGCCAACAAATATATGGAATGATACAGGGGACAACAGATTGGGAAACTTTAATATCAAAAATAATTTACTACATGCTTCAAATGGGTCAGTTATGTCAAGCTGCAAAACGTGCTTAGAAAAGTGGGAATCCAAGTTCATCTCATTGTCCTCATGAGACAGACATATTCATAAAAAGAGCGAGACGACTATATACTATCCCCTTACTTATTCAACTTGCGAGGACTTGTGCGGGTCCCTTGGACTGCAAGGCGGTCCAGCCGGTCAGTCCTAGAGGAGATAAACCCTGACTGCTCTTTAGAAGGTCAGATCCTGAAGATGAAACTCAAATGGATGAAGTCACCGAAGCAGTAAGTGTGAACTTAAATGGACTCCAAAGGATGGTAGAGGACAGGATTGCCTGGAGGAATGTTGTCCATGGAGTTTGACACGACCTCACAGCTAACAACCTATATTACTTAATATATATTCAAACTATATGTTGAATATATATTAAGGAAAACTGGATTGGAAGAAGAGGAAATGTGGTTTTGAAATTAGAAGAATAAAGGTCAATAATCTTTGCTATGTTAATGACCGAAGACTTATAGCTGAAAATGCAATGCATCTGCAACATCCAGTAATAAAAGTTAAAGAACATAGTGAAAAAATGAAATGATGAAAATATATTGGACTATTTTGTCGGTCGGTTTTCCTTTATAACAAGCAACCTTAATTGATAATAGCACTTAGACATATATACTGCTTCATAGAGCTTTACAGACCCATTGTCAGAATTCCAAGTAACACCTCCAACGAAAGATGACTCCGAGGCTTGAAGTTCCTCAAAGTTCCATTTTATTAGAGATGTCATATTGGCACATATGGGAAAACCCGAATCTGAAAGTTTCCAGGTTTTCCCCATCCAAATGAAAGTCCAAGCCCCTGCCCAGCTCCCACACGTCCCACACAAAGAAAGTGGAAGTTTGAAGAAGCCACATAGGAAGAATATTGGCCTTTTTGAACTTTGCTATTGGAGAAGACTTCTGAGAATACTGTGGAGAGTCAAAAAATGATCATTGAATAAATCAATCCAGAGTTCTCACTGAGGGCACAAATGAGGAGACTCAAGTTACCTTATCTTGGGCACATTTTGTGATGGACTACCTCTCCGGAGAAGGCTTTAAGAAGGCTGGGAAAGGTGGAAAGAAAAAGAGGATGACTAACAAGAAGGTGGATGGACTCCATGTCAGTGACCACAACATCAGAAGATCTGGAATGTCAGGTTAGATACAGAACCTCACAGAGAAAATCCATCTATGTGATTGCTCAAGAATTGACACTGGCTTGATGGTGCTCAATAAACATTGGTCAAGAGAGAACAGTGAGCATAAAAGCATAGCAATTAAGGTACTGAAGCGGGCAAGAGATGATTTCTTTTCTTTTATGTTGTTCTGATTTGCTTCTCCTTTCTCTTTTCTTTTGTCTTTTTTTATAAGTGGGTGACATGATTAGAAATTAGAAAGGAAAGAAAGGAAAAGTCTTTTAATAAAGGGTGATGAGATTAAAAAATAGAATAGGTGATAAAAATAAGAGAAGGGTATATCAATGAATACATTTTTATATAATAAAATGAAAGAATAACGAGAAAATGTGGAACAACTGGACAATGATAGAGTGCAACCTAAGATAAATGTGTATTTACTAGAAATATACGTGGCACGACAAAACCACGCTCCACTAAAGCGCGCCCGATTAAACTGCGTAGCTGACATCATCAGCAGGGCGACAACAGCAAGTGCGGAGAAAAAAGGGCGCTTTAAATAGCGCTTTGAAAGCAAGCCGATTCAAGTTAAGGTAAGGGTTAGGTTAAGGGTTAGGGTTAGGTTTAGGGTTAGGTTAAGGGTTAGGGTTAGGTTTAGGGTTAGGTTAAGGGTTAGGATTAGGTTTAGCGTTAGGTTAAGGGTTAGGGTTAGGTTTAGGGGGGTTAGGTTTAGGTTTAGGGGTTAATTTTAGCTTTAGCGTTTACAGCGTGCTTTTTTCTCCGCGCTGTTGTCGCGCTGTGATGACGTCAGCTACGCGGTTTCGTTGAGCGTACTTTAGTCGAACGCGGTTTTGTGGTGGAACCGAAATATATAAGTTGATTGAATGTAATAATTATGGTTAACTTTGGTGGTTTTTATTTGTATTAGAATGTATGACACCCAGGTGTCACACTGTTCACGCATTGATTTGGTTTATTTATAAAAAATAAAAAACTTGAAAAAGAGAGAGAACAGTGAGCTTGTTGCTTAAAAAAATTAAATCATGGACTTATTTGCAGTACTTTGGGAGCATTTATCAAACAAACCTATTCCTTTAGAATCTGGATGGATGTATATTGGTTTTGCTGAAAATATTTTCTAGAAAATAATTTTGCCATACCTGCTCTGGTTCATTATTTTTATGGCTAATGTTCAGCTGTTGTTGTTTTTTTAAATGTTCAATTGGGTTAATTGTTCCATTGCTGCTGTTGTTTGTTTCTGCTAATTGGAATTTGAAAGCCTGCAAAGAATCCCTTTGGTAAATAGAGTTTTGCAGGGTAGATAATGTAAATGCAAAAGTACATGTGTCAGCCTCTTATCTCGTTTGCTTGCTATCGGCTGCCATGGTAACGGGGAGGGAGGAGGCGCACGGTATTTGGGAGGGGAAGCATGCTGGTGGAGACATCTCAAAAAAGGGAACGTTCTCACCATCTTCTGCACATGCTGAAGGTCCTGCATACCAGCTGAATGAGGCTACCTGAAGATGAGCCCCACATGATACTTTTGAGGGTTGGTGGTTGGACATTGGGCTGGGGTAATTGAGGGGAGGGAGTTGGGTAACTTTTGATATGTACACGTTTGCGCCTTTTTGCCTCAGATCTTGCTTCACTTTTGCTGTTTTCACTTCATATCCAATAAAATACCTTTTCTCTAACTAATTGGAGTTAGGGGTTTCCTTTCTTGGATCTTGAATGAGGCAGGCCTGACAACGTGTGTGAGCACATGGAAGTCTTTGGTTAATTTCCCTCTTCTCCAAGAGGTTGTGATGGAGCTACATATTAAAAAGAGTCAGAAAGTAGCCCCAGTCTGATTGTTTTAAGTTAAAAAGAAGTTTTTGCACTTAGCAACATAGTTCTTTGGCATAAATGGCAGATTCCATTAATTGCCTTCAGCTCCCTTGAGATCATCTTAAAACTCTTTCAGTCTCATGGCTGAGCCACGGAAATTTGGAGACTCCTAAACTTGTATCATTTTCTTGGAGAATCTTTTTTTTTTTTAAAGCTTTTTATTTTGAAAAACGATAGAAGGGTTTGTAGGCTTACAGGATGTACCAAAGGCACTCCTCAGCCTACAACCATAATTGGGACTAGAATTTCCGTCGCTAAATAAGGTGGCTTGCTAAGTATGTCCCATATGATTTAACAACCTTGTTTTCCATTGTTAACTGGATCACGGCAGTTGTTAAATGAATCATGTCATTAAGTGAATCTGGCTTCCCTATAGACTTTGCTTATCGGACGCCAGCTGGAAAGGTCACACATAGCGACCTCGGAGGTGCTGTAATGGATGAAAATAAATGCCATTTTCCAAATTTTGACCCATAACTGGGGAGGCTGCAAGTGCAAGGACTGGTCATGAGTCAGTTTTTTCAATAACTTTGGTTGCTAAACAAATGGTTATAAGTAGAGGACTACCTGTATATCAGTTTACAAGATTATCCCAAAGGTGCTTTTTCAAGAGGCAACTGAACTTTCTTGTTTTTCTCCGAAGACGTTTCCCTTCTCATCAAAGAAGCTTCTTCAGTTCCTGCTCAGTCAACAATTCCGACTTAGTCAGAACTGAAGAAGCTTCTTGGATGAGAAGTGAAACGTCTTCGAAGAAAAACAAGAAAGTTCAGTTGCCTCTTGAAAAAGCACCTTTGGGACAACCATGACTGGATGACTAAGAATCTCTACAGACATTAATACAATAGTGGAATATTCTTGTCTGCTCTTACCAATCTAATAGTATTCACTATTTAATAGTATCCACAAAAGATTTAAAATGTAAGCCTGATTTGTAGATACCTACAAATCTGACTTTCTACCTTTTCTGTGAAAGTTTTACATATTTTGTAAATGTGTGTGTTGTGTGTCTCAGAGTTGGTTTTGGATAATTTTTCCTTTAAAAAAATCTTCTTGTTTTTCTTTTCCCTTAGGTTTAACATCACGATTTAAAAAATGGTTCTTCAGATTTATACGCAAGCTGCCCATCATTGGTCCCATCGTAAGTTTTAAGCTGCTTAATAAATTTAAGATATTTTGAGAATGGCTTGGACATGAGTTGATTTATCAATGCTGAATGAAGTAAAATAACAATATTGAAAACATAATATATGAATGCTTAGCTCAAATGCGATAGCATTCCACTTCAAGCCCAAATTTGTGGCCTGTTGAAAACCAAGCAAAATTCAATTCACCATTGATTCTTTTCTTTCTCCTTAATAGCCTTACTAAAAAATGGATTATTTAGCAAGTGTCTGTATCTTCATATGCTTTGTTTCATTGGTGAATGATTCAGAGGGATCCTTGAAGATCCCAGAACATTTAATACAGAAGATGGGAAAAGAAGGAACAAATATTTGCTTATTGGATTGAGTGTTGAATTTATACCATATTGAATATCGAAAAACACTGAACTTAACCAACGTCAATTACATCAGATAAAACAAGAGAACATTACTTAATTGCAGTGAAAAACATATGGAGAACTCCAAAATATCTATTCTATATTAATCTTAATGCAATTTTCGAAGATGGAATACTATAACATAGAGTATGTCTTTAAAATCACACCTGGAAAGGTGGTTTCTACCATTCCATTAAGGTACCCAAGACACAAGCCATAAAGGAATCTATGCATTAAATCAATTTAAATTTGGCCTTCAAAACTTGTGAAGCCAGTGGAGCTGAGCCAGAACAAGTATCACAAGGATACACCCATCAGAAACCTGACCGCAGCATTCTAGACGCATTGCAATGCTCTGGTTTCCCCCAGTGACATCTTCACAGAAAGTGGACTACAACAATCTTTTTTTTGGAAAGCAATTGTAGTATGAATTGTGGAGGGCAAAGCACTCCAAACCAGGAAAGGGGAATACAATTCAGCTAAAAGAAGATGTCGCTCATCCTTAGGAACCACGTGAACTTTCAGAGATAATGCATAATTGAGAAAGACTCCCAAGAGGTGAATCTGCTTTTTCAGAGGGGTGGGGGGCGAGCCTATCTAGAGCTGGTAACTCTCCTTTCCAATTGGATAAAATTATCTTCAATCAAAGTGCTCTGACCTGCCTGAATTCAGCTTGAAACTATTATACCTCAGCCTGACCACAATCAAGCCAAGCAGAAGCTGACTATGAAGGCTGACCCACAGAAAGAAGATGGGGAAAAAACTCCAAAATACCTGTGTATCATTCATGTAAAGTTGGAACTGGTTCTTTCTCCATAGTGAGGGGGGGGAGGAGTATCCAGAATGGGTTGACCTTATCCTCTTGTGATTGGATTGAGTCAGATAAGAACGGTGCCTCCCACACCCACCTCCCGCAACCGTCGCAGAAGGATATCATGGTTCATGGTATCGAAGGCCACTGAGAGGTCAAGAAGCACAAGGATAGAGGAGTGACCCCTATCCCTGGCTCGC